AAATTACAAGAAAAAACATTATCTGAACCACCGATAAAAAAGGAAAGTAAAGATAGTATCACCAGCGGCGAATCTTTAGAGACAGTTCTGGCTACAGAAACAACAGAGAATACAGAAGAGACGTTTAATGATCAAGAAAGTATACCATACTGTGTAAAGACAAAGCCTTATTATTCTATTAATGCAAAGTTAAATCAGAGAGAAAAAATCAGTATTCCTTCTGTTAATGCTTCGTCTAATAAGTATACCGAACAAGGATATTCAGATAGCGGAATGGATGAAAGTACACCAGTTTTAGAAGATCAGATTACTCCAGTAGAAGACACGAAACCGCCACCTGTTTGGGACGCAAATTTCAAGTTTCTTACGAGTTCCGTCAGTGGTAGAACATCACAAAATTATAATAAATCTAGTGTGACTTGCCTTATCTGTGGGAAACAATTAAGTAATCAATATAATTTGCGAGTACACATGGAAACTCATAGTAATAGTTCGTATAGTTGTACAGCCTGTTCACACGTTTCAAGATCACGTGACGCTCTTAGGAAACATGTTTCTTATAGACATCCGGTAGCATCACCGCAAAAACGTTCACGATACAGTACACCGAAACCATAGAAACTATTTTATTATTATTATTATTGTTATTATTATAGATATCTTGATTTGTATCACGCCCTTCTTTTAGGTTATATCTTTATCAAAAAAAAAGTTAATGATGTGTTACTCAACTTAGATCTAAGTATTCTATTAACTAAAAAAAAATCGAGATTTAAAATTGAAAATATGGTTGCAAATATTTTGATTTTTGTCATTTATTTATTAGAATATTTCTTTCTTTCGAGTACCAGATTTTCGGTTCAGAACAGATGGTATTGCTGTGAAAGTATTTTGATTTTTACTATAAAGTTCTTAAAGTGCTTCCTTAAGTAAGTGGTATGTTTCCTTTAATTACAGATCAGTCACATTGTCGCAATTTAGTCGGAGAAAATCTAATATAGCGTTAAGTAATATAAATTAGAAAAGAAAAAAAACATACAAAGCAATATAAAGACTCTTCAGATTTTTATGATACCTTAACTGTGTTTCCATGGATAAGGTGAACATCACTGTTGAATATAAAAGTTGAATATTTTATTAAACGTGAAAACTTAAGAAAACGATTCAATATAAAAACTTATGTACCTCATCTTTGTAAGAGATATTCAGTACTAGACTGATTAAGAATAGGGCAAGTTGATATATACATATATATAAATTATTATATATATATGTGAATATATATATAATGCCTCGATTATTTTGTTTTTAAATGTACAAATAATTTAAAAGGTGTGATCGCGTTCCTCTGAGACCCTTAGTGTTCGAATTGTTACTGTTTTCTTGTTATCGTTACGCTGTTTTAATAAAGACAGAGTAGACAATAAATATTTTTGTTTTTTGATTTCATTTTTCTTTCACAATCAATTCTTTTTACAATTATCCAGTAAAAGTCAAAGGATCAAACAACACTGCTTTTTACCGTTACGCTGTAAATATTTAAAAAATAATTACAGTATGTAAAAATGTTATTTATAATTGACGACGCGCAAAAATGTAAAAAAGTATCGCGGTGATTTTTGTTTATCGATAGTTTTGATAATTCCTTTTTCGTGTATCGAATATAAAAAAGATCACAGTATAATCTGATCGATCATATT